TTTCATGCAGCTATAAGCAGCAGCCTGGGCCATGGCCCTCTTCTGCTACACCTACTGGGGGTCCAGTTTCTCAGAAGGCTGGAGACTTGCAAACCCCAGTGCACCCCAGAAGCACACATGACCCTGCATTTAGTCTTTCCTTGGATCCAACGCAGGGCAGCACTGCCAGCTCTCCCCTGAGACAGTCACAGTTGAGGCACCTAAGTGACACCAAATACCTCTTTGTCCTAGTTTAGGGGAAGCGTGTATCCCTCTCCCCAACACAAAGGGGTGGGTGTAAGGCACTGCTATCCTGGGAGTATGAATAAAGGGTAAATACAAAGCAAGCACCTCATTTCTTAAGCAAGATGTGACATCTTGAACTCCTCTGTCCATGTAACTCCACACATACAGCAAAGTTTGGCCACCACTGGCATTTGGGGTGCTTTGTTGCTTCATGGAGGTGGGCAGCTCAGGGGAATATGCTTTATGGAGCTGGCAGAAGCAGGCCTGGGCCCTTAGCACAGCCTAGAGAAATACCATTCCATCGATATTTAGACAGAGTCAAAAAAAAAAAAAAAAAGAGACTGAAAGAAACAAAGAGACCCAATAATTTATTGGCAGAGCTGAAAGGGGGCATTTGAAAACCATAGGGCTGACTCTCAACTGGGAAGCTCCTCCCAGCTGCAGAGAGATTTATAATACTGGTATCCCTCAGCAAAAGGCTCTGACGTTGAGGCAGAATCCCAGAGATCCTGCATGTCATGTAGAGAAAGAGAGGAAAGTGCTGCAAGATGCGGCCCCAAGGGCACGCTGCTAATTGAAAGGTTGGCCTCCCGCCCCACTGCTAAAAAAAAGTTTGTGTATGACAAAATCAGCCTCTATTGTCACCGCTGCTGGAGGGCTTCAGATGGATCCTTCCTCCAAGGAGGAGTGCGAGAGAGTGGCCCATGAGTCCCTTCAGACGTCGGGGGGCACTGGTGGAGACCTCTCAGTGCTTTCAACACAGACAGAGGAGCTTAGTGCCAACTCTTGTTCTCACAACGTGATTTTTGTGTTTCGAAAGCTTGAATTATCCCTGGAAAACAGAGGGAAGAAAGGTTAAGGGTGTGCATTCCTTCAGATCACAGCACCTCCCCATTCCACCCACCACAGCTACCAGTGTTGCCATCCCAGTATGTCACTCAAATCAATGCTTGTTAAACCTTCTAAGCAGATCTGCTTTCTAACTAGAGACTTTTCACATAAGTCAACCTGCTGCTCCAGAACCCTTGCAGAGCACAGGCAGATTCTGGTTCATCCCCGTTCAGTGGGAAGAAAAACGTGCCATCTCCTGTGAGCAAAGGGTATAATAGACCCTAGAAAACTCCCTGGTAGATTTTGGTGTTTAAACAATTTGCAAGATCTCTTCTTTCCCAAACATACGTCCTCAGGGATTCTGCTTGGAGCACAAATATACCGTCAGTCCGACCTTCTCCTCCTGTCCCTCGTATTTATGCTCCTGTTGTCATGCTGTCAACAAGTCTAGCTCTGTGGTCTTTCCTACCTTAAAAGAATATCTAATCTGAAAAGGAGGTTTCCCTCAAGTTTATATAGAGGAGTTTCTTCAGCAGCTTTTACTCACATGAGTACAGTCATGTGAGTCTCAGGGGCTACCGACAAAGAAAGGACCTTCACTTGTGTAGTCTTACAGCACATGGCAGCAATTGAAGATGGGGCAGAAAACACAGAAACCTGTGTTAATGCTCACTGCTGGCCTGGGAGCAGCAGCAACAGGCAAAGTATATTATCACATTAATAGAAAGATGCTATGGGTTTTAAACTCAAACAGATATAAATGAGATTACAATTATTTTAAGAGGATAGGTTTGGCAGCTCTTCCCGTAACAGGGATGGGGCAGTAAGTTGCCCAAACCAAACACCTAGGGATGCCCCAGCACATACCACATCAAATCAGCAGAGCTGTTGTTGAAGAGCAAAGGCAGCAGCTTCAGAAGCAAGGTGCTCTGCAGGACTGTAAAATCCTGCTCAAACCCTTGAGCTAACATTGTGTGCTGCCACGAGCTGCACGGTAGCTGTAACACCACAGCACAGTGCATGCTGGAACACCTCCAGGAGGCGGGCTGGAGAGCTGAAGGAGCAGAAGGAAGTGAAAAACGCTCTTTATAGAGTTAAACAAGTTATTCTGCTGTGACATGACAGCAAAAACCATGCTGGAGGCCATCTGCAGAAAACTGGCGTTCACCTTTGCACTTGCCAGGAAACATTTAGGAACATGACTCAGGATTCATTAACTGGATTCCAGTTAATTTGCAACAAGGGTTTGGCCTTCCATCCCATACTGTACTTTCATCCATGCCATCCACCTCAGGAGGCCAGCCCACTCCAGTTAGCTCTTTCTTGGACAGGTTTCTGTATTTCTCCTCCTTTCACCTTTAGCAGGGTACCCCAGGCCCTCTGCTCATCACTACTCTCCCTGCTCAAAAGAGGTAACCCAATACAGTTGGGTCACTCTTTTCCTATACAGCTGGCACATTTACTGCCTCCTGAGACTGCTATTTCACAAAGTGAGCTGGTTTCTTCTTCTGGAAGGTCACTTGAATGCCATTAACAATAACAACACTACTAGGTGCCTGTATAACATTCTGTAACCATTGATCCTCACAAAAAGCCAAATCTGTGAGGAAAAATAGGTATTATTTTTAGCCATGACTTCAGATCATGCTAAGATAACACTGCTTGCCCAAAGGTGTGGAGGGAGGTTTTGGGCTCCCCAGTGGCCCCCTGGAGATCAGCTGTGTTGGAGCAGCTACGTACCAGCATGGGGTGGGAACTGGGAAATGTAACGCTACCTTCCAGCGGGTTCCTCTGCTCTGGCACTCGGCAATGCAGGAACCCCAGTTGGCTACAACCAAACTCAACTCTCATTGCCAGGCCTCCTGCTAGCCCTTTGTAAGGAACGGGCCTGACATCAGGGAAGTGGGCACTGGGAGGATAAAACCATCTGAGCTGCGTGGCTCACAATGGCACTGAGCTCACCTTGGCTGTTTTCTCTGCATATGGTCGGTTGCCACTACCAGAAGTAGCAGGTGGTTTTATCTCATTAGCCACAGCATTATTATTTCTAAATACAGTAGCTACTGTGTGTCCTTCCTGAACAAGCTTTTATTGACAGATTAATTTATTCTGCTCCAGCCCACTGTCAAGAGCAAAGGCACATATGCCAAGCTCCAGGCGCCTCGCTCAGTGTCCATCACATGGATGTGCTTCGCATTCATTTACCACTCCGTATCTGCTTACAGTCAACCCTAGGCAACAGACCCAAGCTGAAGACATACCTCTCAGCCTCCTGGGACCAGGTCTGGGATACTCGTGCCTTGCACAGAGGAAGGACACATTAGCAAAATAGCACACAGCATATCACAACAGAGAATGCTGAGTGAATGGAGATCGCAGTGAATGTTGGTGTCTTTGGTAAAAAAAAAATTAAAAAATCATTTTGACCTTTGGGAAATGGTCAAAATGGGCCCATCACCAGGCTCATAAGACAATACAACATGCCAGCCCACGGGAAGAAGGTTGGAAGCTGAGAGGTATGCCATGAAGTCCCATAGGAAGAAAGATGAGGCCCTACCCTGGATGTGACAGAGGGAGGGAGAGCGTTCGATCAGCGGCCACTGCTGTTCACCAGGCCATGAAACTCCTCCCAGGCCCTGGCAAGCCAGAGGGAAAAAAAAAATAAAAAAAATGAAACAAAACCCAAAAAAACCCCCAGCACTTCAGATCAAAGGCTTCTTCACTTTTAACGAGAGCAGAGACATTCAATGGCGTTTGAAAGGCACTTGTCTTCAGAGAGCAAGGCAATATTCTCTGATAGCCCTAGTGGATAGAAGCATCCTTAAAACCCAGCCAAACATCTGACAGTGCAAGGCAGCTTTAACGTTCTGCACAGACATGAAGCGTTCCCACTGGCTGCTGGTGATATAGCCACATTAATACCCAGAGACAGGTATGACCTTCCCAGTCACAAACGGAGGATCCATTTCCTATCGCTGATAAAACAGACGATGTTACGTCTTTCTGGAGGATTATCATGTTCCTTGGCTGGTTAAATTCAGCCAGTTACAAGCCTCACGCTTCACCACATACCTGCATATGTAGGAATCCCCCCCAAAAGTGGCTTCTTGTAATGCCACACAGCTTAATTATTAGGAAATTCTTCGATCAGGCAGCAGAATCCATTTGTTATTAGAAAGTCGCATTTCCTATTGCAAGCCTGCATTGTTAATGACGACCCAGTAAAAACACTACAGCTATTTGAAATGAGAATGTTTTCAGACAGGTTAGAGGGACAGGCCAAACGCTGCATTCCCTGGTGGAGAATGTTACTGACGGATGAAGCTAGCAGACTGAAAAATTGCTGTCTGTTTTATGAAGGCAGCATACTGAAAGCCCTCTCAGGGAAAAGATGCCGAGGTTAAAGCGAGCATGACTATTATCTTCTGGGATCAGAGACATTAAAAGAACCTCACAGTTCTCCATGCCCAGAAGAACAGTGCTGGTGCCTACAGCACATGCCAAGCCATTTACTGAACCCAGAGAGTCCTGTGGAGCTGGAGGGACCTTAAAAGGAACCCAGGTCAGTCACAAGCCCAGACTGTCCTGCAGATTTTGTTGCTGGTACTTAGATGTGGTACCTCACATCTCGTTTTCTTGGTTACCCCATCAGGCCACTGCAACACGACAGAAGAGTCCAGAAAAGGAAATTCTGTATTAGTCAGCATCTGTGCCAAAAATGGACCCCTAACTGGCTCTTACCTGAGCCTCAAAGAGTCAAGCTCCTCATCACCATTTGCAAAAGCAGCTCAGTTGTCATATGCTCTTTCCCAGCAAAGTCATAGCCCAAATAAAAACAGAGTACACTGGCAGAGTGCCTGCCATGTACTCCACAAGACTGTACACCACACACAAGCCAAGAAGCTTGTCACTGCGGTGTACAGTTTGGAACTTGTGACACTGCCTTCCCAGACCACAGGACAGCAAATCCCCCTTTTGAAGGTGCCGAAGGCAAAACCCTAAGGATCACTGACTTCAGCACCACCAGTACAAGTCTGGTGAGCGGCAAAAAACTTCAGCTCTTCCCAGTTCAAAACAGCTCTGTGAAAACTTCCAAGAAGCAACTAAATCTCCATAGCCCCCCTGAGTCACAGGCTCCTGTGAACTACCAAGGTGATCAGCTGGTCTAAGAGAGTCCTTATCGACAGCTGGTTCTCTCCTCTGTCTCCCTCCATCCCTGGTAGCTCAAAATCCTCCTGATCTTGACTAGGATGGACAAGTAACAGTCATCCATGGGAGTCCCAAAGCAACATCGTATCTCTAGCTGACCCTCAGACATGAGCCCTTGAAGCCAAAGGAAACCTGAGGGAAAAAGACAGCAAAGATTGCTGTAGATGTGACAGGAGAGCACACAGGACAGCTCTGGTGCATTAGTGCACCTGCCTTCCCTCAATACCCAGTTGGGAAAACACAGGGCAAAACCAAAGGTGAATGGTCCACAGAAGAAGGACCAGCTGATGCATCTCTCAGATGATTGCTGAGGTCAGATCTGCAATTCAGCTTGACATACAGCAGCACACTGCTTGCAGGACAGGCAAAGCCACAACTGACTCATTCTAAGCAAGGTAGCAGCACAGAGGCCCCTAAATGGGAACCTTCCCCACCAAGTCTCCCCTGACACTGCACTCTTCATGGCCAAGAAATCTTGCAGAGAAAGGAAAACTACCTGTGCCACCCAGTCAGCACATGGTACCAGACACTGTAGGTACAACTGCTTCCCTCCAGAAGAAAGTTAGGGGGAAGAGGAACTCTTGAGCTGAAGCCCTCTTAACTGCTGACTACAGACTGGAAAGCTATGCACATCTCCAGCCTTGCTAAAGTCTCTACCTTCAAATCTTCCCTCCAACCTCCCATGCCTTGTATTTCTACCACAGTGCCATCACCCATAATCACATCTTCTCTTTCCTCTCCCACAGTTCTCCCAAAACTCATAACTTCTGTTCTCTGCAGAGGGACAACAAG